ACTTTGAAACTAAAAATGTTTGAAATTGAAGCAACCTACGGTGTCTCCAGGCTACACAGGTTAGGTAAATTTTTTTTTTTGAGTACATAAAACTGAAACTAGCCAAGACCCAGCGTAAAATCTACCTCTCCAAAAGAAGTTAATAGGGAAATCAAAACAAATAAAAATCAGAAAAAGCATCTGTATTTGATCTTATTACCAGAGAGAGCTATTGTCAAATTATCAATCTTATCAATGCGTCCTTTAGACTAAAGTACGTAAAAGAGATGTAGGTGGCAGAAGTTATAATGATATCTAAGCCAGGAAAAGTTAAAGAAAAGTGCCTACTAATACCCTCCCACCAATTTGACTTCAGAGAAGAACACTCGACCATCGCCCAAGTTCACAGAATCACAAATATAATACATACCTTTTTTTGGATTTTATTCAGACTTTCGACAAAGGATGGCATGAAGGCCTAGTTCAAAAAACTGGTTCTGTCATGTCAATAGCATGAACTATTAAAATCCTATTTATCAGGAAGATATTTGAGAATTAATCTCTACTATAGTCTATTTTTATGTATGAGAGAGTAATAAAACAGCATTTCTAATGCAAAACTTAGTACGGTCATTTTAAATATTTTTACAGAATAATCTAAATATTTCCTAAAATTGTATTAAATGTACCTGAGCTATTACAAGTTTTGGGTCTTTTATTGGTCCTTTATAAACATAAGCTGTACAGAACAATAGAAAAAGATTTTGACAGGCCAAAAGCCCTGTGCATTAAATATTACATAGCCGTATCTTAAGATTATTTTCAATAAGTACCTATTAGCCAATTTTGTTTTATTTTAATTCCAAGAATTTCTTACAGTAATCGAATTATAAGTAGATAAATACCTTCCCAACAAATTTCACCGAAAATGCGATTATAGGTTTTCCATTTAGTAAGGAGGTCCAAATTGTGTATTCTAAACAGTTTACTAAATGTCGTTTAGTTGCAACTTGCAAGGTGCAGTGTGAATCCTAGTGTGATCATGGAAAATTTGGAAGGGCCGCGTAAACGACAAAAAATCGGTCCTTTAACAGTTAATGAAAAAACATTAATATTTAATTGTTTTAGATCATTTACAGACAAACATTTATGTAAAAGTGTTGATTACACAGTGGAATTAGTTAGTAGTACGCTTGGTGTTGGGAAATCTACGATTTACAGAGTTGTTAAAGAAGAGAAATGTGGCGAGTTTCAAACAGCACGTAAAGCTCCAGGAAAACCAAAATTTCAATTAGAAAATCTTTTGAAAGAAAGACTTCGAAGGAAAGTGCATGCGTTCTTCTTTAGAAAAGAATTTCCGACAGTAGACAAAGTTCTTGCCACGGTTCGAGATGATAAGGATTACCCTGAAATGAGTCGAAGCACACTATGGAAACTTTTAAAAGAAATAGGTTTTCCATAGAAAAAGTATTCCAGAAAGTCTATTTTAATAGAAAGAAGCGATATTGTAGTATGGAGAAGAAATTACCTAAGGACTATAAAAGAAATGAGAAACCAAAGAAGAAATATATTTTATTTAGATGAAACTTGGATCAACGAGGGACATAAACCAAATAAATGTTGGCAAGATGAAACTGTTACAAGTCGAAGACAGGATTTTTTAAATAATTTATCTACTGGTTTAAATCCACCATCAGGAAAGGGGCGCAGACTAATAATAGTACACATCGGTAGTTTAAACGGTTTTGTTAAAGGTGGTTTATTGACTTTTGAATCTACTCGTACCGGTGACTACCATGAGGACATGAATGCTGATGTCTTTAAAGAGTGATTCGAACAAATTATAGATCTTCTTCCTCCTCAGAACTGTATAATAGTAATGGATTATGCAAGTTATCACTCGAGACTTATAGAAAAAATGCCCACAACCAAGTGGTTAAAAAAAGATTTACAGAATTGGCTAAATTCAAAGAATATTAAGTTTCATCCCGGTTCTGTGAGAAAAGAACTGTATCATTTGTGTTCCCTTCATAAAGAGAAATTCAAAAAATATGAGATTGATGAAATTGCAAAAAATCGTGGGATGACGGTGGTTACATCACCACCATATCATTGCGAAGTAAACCCGATTAAACTGATATGGGCACAGATAAAGGGAGAAGTTTCAAGAAAAAATAATTCTTTTAAAATAAGTGATGTTAAACAGTTGTTTTCGGAGGCTGTAAATAATGTGAAGCCTGAAAACTGGGAAAAGGCAGTAAATCATACGATTAAAGAAGAAGAGAAAAGTTGGACAATATTACTGATGAAATGATGGAGCCACTCATTGTAAATATTGGTTGCGACAGTTCATCTTCTGATTTCGATTCTGATTTGGATTTGTAGGTAAGAAGTAGTTTTTATATTAAAATTATTATTTATGAACGTAACGTTGTTTAAAAGTCAAAGTTTAAACCCTTATACCTACATAACCCGTTTGACACAATGTTCTTAACATACCTTGTGGAAAAATAAAACATTTTATAAAAAATTACAGTTTTTTACCTTCAGCTGTTTAGAAGTTATAAGCAGGTTAATTAGGTGAAAATATAAGTGTATACTCGAGGAATAACTTCAAAAAATATGTTAACTGTCTACTAAAAGAAGTGGTACGCCTATGGATTACGAACGCGTTATTATTTTAATACTCTCTCATTCCTAATCTTGAACCCAATACCATCACAATATTTGCTAATGATTCTGAAATCCTGGCTGTTGAAAACGATAACGAGGACGTTAATACAAAATTGCAAAAATCTATAGACCAGACTAACACCTTAACAAAAAGAATTAAATTAAATAAAGGCAAAGCTGTATCAAATTCAGCAATAATCAAAATGAACATACTATTCCCATTAGAATAAACGACACTTAGATTCCTTTTGCTAATATAGCAAAATATCTGGGTATGACACTTGATGCTGAACTTTGGAGGAAATTTCATATTAAAAAGAAACGCGAAGAACTTGATACAATATACAAAAGAATGTAATGTAAATAATTCCAACTCATCCACATAGAGCATGCATATGTTACTACAGCTTTGTCCGAACATCTCACAAAACCGTAATATTACGGTCATCGTCATGCGCAGTAAATAAAAACCTATCAATAAAGCCCAAAGTCGAACGGTTTTTATTTACTGCGCATGACGATGACCGTAATATTACGGTTTTGTGAGATGTTGGGACAAAGCTTACATCTTTTCGAAGTAAGCAGCATACATTGTCGGCACAGCTAAGCAGTACTAGAGTGAATTCTACCTCAAAATTTGTACTTAAGTATTCAAAGTACTCAGTTTTTGTTACTAGTACTTTCATTCAGATGAAAAAAAACTTTTTATGTTCACCTTTTTGAAAAAATGTTAGTATTCAAAAATTTTTAATTGAAAAATAATAACAATCCAAATAGAAGTTGAATCTCTTGGCTTTTTTTAAAATAATGTTTTTAAATTTAAAACCCAGTTGATTTTCATAATTTTTGGTTCGGCCTAAGTATTTCATTGATTTTTATATTTTTGTCATTATTTCACTAAAGCAAAGTGATATTCAACTTCTGTTTGGATTATTATAAATATTAAAATAAGTAAACCTTTTATGAAGAATACCATTTTTTCCAAAAAGTGAAAACTACAAAGAGATAGCATTAATTATGCAAGAAACGAATAATATCAGCGCTGCCTCTTTATACGGCAGGGCAAACGTTACATCGCGGTCGGGCCGTATAAACAACATAACAAAACATAATTAAATAAAACAACAACTTAAATAATTGCAGAGTTCAAACGTTAACAAATACAAACTTTATCGTAGTTAACCAAAATAAAAAAAATATGGTACGCATTTAATTTCGAATAAAATTAGATTTCAAATGAAGTGTCACACTTTAAAATACGTAACAGTTTTGTATCCCGCTAGTAAGCGTTAAAATCAAAAGTAATGCAATAAATAGTCATATTGCCGAAGTCTCTATAAAATTATCTTTTCAATGACGTGTCATACTTGGCACTTTCCCTATTTAAATTGCATTGGTTAGAGTAACACGGTGAAGGGGAATGACGTATGACAGTTAATATAATAAAAATATGTGCAATATGTCCAACTAAAATCGATCTGTCCGAGCGTTTTTTATCATCCACAATATTAATACCCAAAACCCCCATGTCAAGTTTTCATTGGGTCACCTTGTATAAAGAGAGTATTTATATTAAAGAAAATTATCTTATAAATAATAATCTTAAAACCAAATATGAAGTAAATGGATCGATCCGATATTAATATAAAAAAATACTGAATAAATAGTTTTGAAACCTCAGTTGTGAAGTTTGAAACGAATAAATTGGTAATGAAATTGATATTTTTGTATTTGATTGTATGTTACTCTCTTTACTTTCTGAAAACAGATTCCCCATAAAACAAGAAATAGTAAACAGTTTACAATAAAAACTTTTATCCAATTTGCAACTAGTAATATGTACAAATGACCGAGTCCGGTTCTGCTTATTTTGAAATAAACAAATATGGCCTTCGGTAGAATCTCTAAAAATTAAATACCTTACCGAATTAAATGTAATTTTCCTCCCTCTACTATTATAAATACAGCAAATACAGCTTTTTACAACACATCTTGGCATTTTTAACGTTAATTTTCAAAATTTAAGTCACTAAAATACCAAATTTTCTGGTTGACACATCGAATTTGGATAAACAACACTTGTTTAATCTAAGTTTAGATCATATTCTGTATTTAGACCAAATGTATTGTAGATCATTGATGTTTAGGCTATTTGATATTAGATCAAATTGTTTAAGACCTTTTTCTTCAACCAATTTTTCCGGGAACCATTGAAAAGAAAGGTATAAAAATATACATAATATTTTGTATTTTTTATTTTTTACAAATATTCATTTTTTATAAAACAATTAATTCATTGCAACAATTATATTTTTAGTACATAAAAACATTTTTTTTGCATTACATTGTTAGAGTGGTACTGATCAAATTTGTATTTTAGATAAACCTATATAATATAATGCTAGTAAAAATACGAATTATTTTACTATCATTATAAAAAACTACCTACATAGTTACAACCAAAGGTCCTGGAACTAGAGTTTAAAAATCTTCATAACAGTGGCGCAGCGTGCGTAGAATTAAATGTCAGGTAAAAATATATTTAATTTTCTGGAAAGTACTGGTAAAGATAAATGTTATATATACTTTATGGAGCAAATTGTAAGATTAAAGTCATGAATCATTGAGTATGGGGGGACATCCAGAAATCATACTATTTTTATATTCAAATTCGGATAACGCGATATATTTTTTATACGTGACGTCATCTGTGTAAGCTTGATGACGTCGTCAAATTTTTTTAAATGTAAATGTGGATACAATGTGATAACTCGTTTGAGAATTAGGAGAATTGTCTATCCAACCATATTAATTAAATTAACAACCTTTTTACATTAAAGATATAAATGTGAGTCAATTCAAAGAAAAAGTAGAGTTGGACGATGGCGAGATTTTTCACTCAAATTTTGAATCGTAACTGTGCTTATTATTATTCAAATTAAAGAGGTTATGTTTTTTCAAGGTTTTAAATGAGATAAATTTAAAGATTTTGTGAATTAGGCTATAAGTAATTGAGGGACTGTAAGTAATTGAGTTTTTTTGTACTGTCAAAAAGTTTATTATAATTTGTTGACAAGTACCAATTTATTTTCGACTCGTTTTAAGTATCTTACCTACTTAATTTTTGCTCTTTTTAGTGTTTTGCTTGTTTTTGCTTTTTTTATGAATTATTATCTACCTTATCCAGACTACTGTATTTAAATTCGACTTAACTGACATTTTTGGTCAAGTGGTTAATGGTGATATTATTAGAGTATACTATTTAAAAAGAAGCTTACTTAAAATGGATAAAATCGAAATATTATTAATTATTGGTTGTGAAGACAAAACCAGGACTATATTTGTACTGTGTTTAACAATAAATAGCACATGCGGAAAACCAATTTACCAATTCACAATTAGCAAAATTGAGCAGGTTTTTTTGTAAAAGACCTCTTTAAAGGTAATAGGTGGGGAAACAAGAAACCAGGTAATCCACCAGCATTTCAAGGTATTACCCACGCTTACTAGTTCAGGGGAAGTAGCATTAGATTAGATAATAACATTGTGAATTCGAAAGTACTTAAAAAGATTAAAAGTTAAAATGACATCCTCATAAATGTAGTGTGGGAACTCTTGGAACAAGATTTTAATACGAGGAGTTCAGTTTTGCAAGATTATAATGAAAAATAACAGAGATCCTATATTTCTAAAAAAAGTAGTTTTCTGATGAAGCAACATTCCTTCTAAATAGTAATGTCAACTATCACTTATCAGACTTGGGTATTGAGCAACACTGGATGAAAGAGTATCATACTTATTGCCCCCAAAAAGTGAATGTTTGATCCAGAAGAAATAATACCATAATTTTTCCAGGAATCCTCAACAGAATATTACCAATTTCTACAAGACTACCTATTTCCAAACAGAGTACAAGAAGAGTTTAGGGTTCGTCTTTCTCACTGTATTATAGTTAAAGGTCGTCAAGTTAAACATTTTCTATAAATGTGATTTTAATTTTATAAATAACACAAATAATTATTTTAGGACACAAGGATTCTAAGTGACTTAATAAAAAAATCCAGGTAATGGAATGTGGTTAAAATACCAGTCTGTTAAGTGGAAGAAAGGATATAAGTGGGCATACTGACATGTGTAGGTGTAGCTACTAGCAAAATGTAGTTCATTCCTAGGGGTCCTAGCACTAGGGGTCTGTATGTTTACTTTAACCTTTTGATATCTAACTGGTTTTGTCTTTTGATTTGTATCACAATGGTAAAACAGTTTTGTGTTTTCATAGAGATCATAGATCTTTACATAATAACTGTGGGATGCATTCATTTACAAAATTTTGGCTTTAACAATGAAAACTACTTAAACTGAAACAGTGACCATGGGCGCCGCCTACAGGATTTGTGATTTTGCATTTTTTCGTCTTGCTTTCCACTATAGCCTACGGCATTTGGACACTGAAACGGCGCTTATGACCTTGACAAGTCGTTTTTTGGTGTTTATGTAATCATATAAATAATTAATGAAGAAGTTATAAAGATGATATAAGGAAGTTATAAATAAATTATAAAGAAGTTATAAATAGGTTATAAAAAAGTTTAAAAAGTCAGTTACATGTATGTCTCAAAGAACTGCACCTTCAAGTTGAAATTTCATAGTAACAATGGAAGATGACCATTTTATTCATGTTCTACAACTTTTAACACTTTCTTCCGAAAAACGGAAAAAAGAATCCGAGGAAGTTAATTTGAGAGAGTCATGTCCAACAATTCTCTTTTACAAAACAAAATTCGAAAGTATTGAGTAATTCGAAGAATTATTAATGGTGGCATACAAATCAGGTTAGCTTGCTGTATAGCTTTCAGTTCTTTAGCCAGTTGATACAAAATTTAAATTTAAGAAGAAAAGTGAGAAAATCTTATTGAACTTTTCTAATTTTTCCACCAATCTACCATCAATAATGGGCTGCACCATAATGCAACAAAGGAAGCAATAACACAGCAATGACACAGATACTGACGAATAAATTGTGTTGTACATAAGGGTGGATACAACGAGGGGTAATAGAACAATTACCATCTCCCCTCCCGAGTTGCTCGAAGAAATACTGGAATTTATTGTAATTTCTAGATTTTACGTAAAAGCAAATAAACAATATGATTGTGATGAATAAAATTATTTACCACCCTCCCAGATTTGCGTCTTGTTGTACATAAGTATTTAATATGCCTACATTAAAATTCAAGATAAAGTAAGTCTACAATTTTCATACATTACTGCAGTTATTTTATTTTCCATTCTGCTCAGAAGTCAAGGTATCTAAGTGATGTCTTCTTGAAAGTCAAGGGGTCTAAGTGCAAACAACGGTTTTAAAAAATATATATAATGGCACCCTAATACAAAAATTAAAAAAAGGTTATAACTGATATTGAAAATCAAAGACCTAAATAGGAATTTGAAATACAAAAATAATGATAATCTTTCCATTTTTTACAAAAATATTTTAACTGATTAACTTAAAATGACAAAAATATTATTTAAAACCCGTTGTGTTTTAGGGTCCACAATATCTTAACCTCGTTTTTATGATTGAATAGACAATAAAGCATTAGAAAAGAAGTATCAAATGACCCATATTTCTTTTTAGAAAATAATCTATGACGTAACGCATAAAAAATATATCATGGAACCCGCGTTTTAATATAAAAGTCAGTGGATTTTTCTTGACAGGTACCGATTTTTAAAGTAATGAATTTATTCCTTTCATGTGCACCATACTGAATAAAATTTGATTAGCTGTACGTGACGTTATGCCACTGTTATGTGAAATATGGTGGGCAAATTATCCTTATGCTGCACAAAAATTCGTACAAAGTTAATTTTTTTATTCATTATAGATATCCCAAATATATGTTACATGAGTTTGCGACGGTTCCTGAGCTACGCTAAACTTTTGAGGGCAAAAACAGGAAATGTTTGCACTTTTTCAGTTTTTTATCCAAAATTTGAAAACGAAGCATCCTACAGAAAATTTCACTCAAATGAATATTAAATAATATAAAATATCGCGTCATATGGATCTTTAAAGTTAAAATCAATTTAACATGTATTTGGGATAAAAAAAAAACCAGCTTTGAACGAATTTTTGGTCAGTGAGAAACATGACTTTTTTGGGCCATGCTTTTATTGGAGGCTAATTTTCCTCGCCTAAAAATAAAGGTAAAAAAATAAACTGTGATTCACAGGACCAAAGCATAATATAAGATAATGGCACCTGGCAGCGTGAGAATCAAAACAAAAAATTAAACTTAACTACTTACTTAAAAAGCTATTCTAGAATAAATTAGTTTTGTTACAATCACAATTTTTGTTTTTAAAACTAGCCTATAATTAACTAAAAAGTAGAGTTAAGGCCACACTACTAAAATCAAAGTCATGATAAAGTACAAATGTTGATTGTATTTTATAGTAGTGTGACCTTAGAATAGCTATTAACAAAATAAAAGAAAAATTGGATATTATTACTGGGTAGGTACCAACTTTCTCCTACAATAAAAAACAAATTTCACTATAAAAAGAAAATGGTAGAAAGAAGAAGGAATGACAAAGAAATACTTAAAAGCGACAAAGAAATAGTTTTAAAACTATTTCAAGAATCCATTTCAATAAATCTAAACATGGCGGTTTCAACATAAAAGTTATAAAATTAGAATGTACAAAAATTTCGTTCAAATTCGTTTTTCATCGATAATATTTCATTTTATTTAAATCTTTTGGCACTTCTATTGGCAAGATCTTTATTTATCCTAAGTGATGGATATAGTAGTTTGTCAAGAGCATCCAATATATATTTTTTAATTTGGATACAAAGGTAAGATATTGTCATTGTAAGATAAAAAGGAGGCATACATTCTTATACATATTTCTTGGTACCTATATAAGACAATTTCATTGTTTATATTTAATACAGCTTATGTAGAATCTGTTTTCCTACTCAAAAAATAATAAATATACCAAGCATTTACTGACTTTTCCTATCTCATATGCAACTAATGTCCTGTTTCCTTGTATCTTACCCTGACAATATAATTTCTTAATCTATTCAGTATGGCCTTGGATCATATGGAGGTGCATTAAATCCTACGTATCTATTATTTTTTCTATGTTGGAATCCACTACCAGGAGCAGTATTATAATAAATAACCCTCCTGATACCGAACGGGTCAATATATCCAAAACTACCAGATCTTTTATCGCCTGGTAAGGTCTCTTCTTCGTGGTAAGCTCGTGGTATATAGTATCTAAACCCATCGTTAGATACAGATACTCCATCGTAAGTTTGTGCTTTAGGTTGATTCCCTAGATAAGGACGTCCATTTTTGTCCAAAGGATAAGTAGGTCCGTTTTGAAACCTGTAGCTGTTTTCGACATGACGAACGTAAGGATTGTAATCTAAAGAATTGTGATCTACTTCTTGAGAACCACCAAAATCTGCAGGATTGTAGGAAGGAGAATACACAGGAGGAGCTAAAGTAGTTAAAGAAGAAGTTCTATCATAATAAGGAGCTTGTGTTGTTTCAATGTAAGGATTTACAGTTGATTGCAAATTATTACTAGATACATAAGTTAGGTTATGAAGAGGTGCTAGTTGAATCTTTTCATAAGGGGATCTTGAAAAGGCATTTGGTGTAATTTCTACTACTGAATTTTCTGTTGGAATTATAATCCTAAACGGAGTAGAAGAATCAATAGAATTATGAGAAACATCTACGGTAGGCGACAGGGTACTTACAGGAGATAAAGTGGTGCTAGGAATATAAGAGCTAGAAGGTACTGAAGATGGAGTCGTACTAGGAATGTATGATAAGCTTGGACTGTAGCTAGATGTTACTGAAGGAGCGGCAGTTGTACTAGGAATATAATTGTAACTCTGTGGAATAGGGGAAGGAGTACTACTAGGAATATAGTCATAATTTTGTAGATTAGAAGAAGCAGTACTACTAGGAATATAGTTATAACTCTGCGGAACAGGAGAAGGAGAACTACTAGGAATATAATTATAACTCTGAGGAACAGAAGAAGGAGTACTACTAGGAATATAGTTCTGTGATAAAGGAGAAGATGTGCGAGGAATATAATTATTCGAAGAAATGTGGCCTTGGTATGGTATTGTTATCACTGGTCTCTGGTGTTGAAATCCTGTTTTATCTAGGGTTCCAGCACCGGTCGGGTACTTTTTAGCCGATTTTACAGCATCGCCAACATTGATGTTTCTTCCCACGAATACATTTTTATTTTTCAGAATTCTGTAGCCTGCGTTGTCTGCTATGTAGTCTCGTTGCCTCAATATACCTAAAAAAAAGAAAAAAGTTGCAAATTTCTATAGAGCAAAATCAATATTTAGGATTTAGTTTTAAAAACAATATCTAAACGTTTAAAGCTAGATGTTATTTAATGACATGGACATATAGTTGATCTTTTTTTAAAATTATTTTTAACAATAAATTCTTTTTCAATAATCGACAATTTTTATAATGGATTCTTTTTTACAGTCCTTTTTACAATCAATTCTTTTGTTGCAATCGCTGCTTTTTACAAATGATACCTTTTAAAATCGATTATTTTTTTCAAAATGTTTTTTTGGTCGATAGATCCCTTATCTTTACAATGGATTCTATATACAATAGTTTTCTTTTTTTTACGATTAAATCTTTTTTGTAATGACTACTTTTTAAAATCGTTTTTACTATTTATTTTAACAATCGATTATTTTACAAATGAATTGTTTTTACAGTCGATGTTTTTTACATTCGATTCTTTTTTATAACCGATTTTTTAACTTCTTTTTTTTACTTTGATCCTTTGTTTACAATTAATTCTTTTTGCAATCGATATTTTTTAAA